TTTAAAAAATATTAAATCTGGCCCCTTCTGCTCTCTGAATGCACAAATTCAATTTATTAGTACCCCAACGTTCTCTGCGCTTATTTAAATTATTTTCAGACTTTTACCCCCACTCATTTGATCTTCAGTCAGTTACTTACCACAATTAACTCTCCCAATTTAGATTTTCTTTCCATTAATTTTTGCCCATTCGCATCTTATTAAAATTTTTTAGCTTATTCAAATTCTCCCACGTGGTTGTCATACGCCAAAATTTGACCTTTCTTTTTTGACATTCGTACTGTCAACCTATTTTCCGTTTCCTGTAACAGTAATTTTCTTTTTGATTATCTGCTTCAAATTTCCCTTTTTACATATGAATTTTCATATTTTCTTGTTTAGTGTTCTAATTTTCTTGTTAGTATAAAAATTTTTTTGCTTTCTCATTCTCAGTTTAATATATTTTACTTTCAATAAATTTTGTCATCGCCACCTATACTCACTTTCAGTAAATAACACCTCCGTTAGTACACTATTTATCCGCTAATTTAAAATTTACAGTTTACTGCATTGATTCGTTAAAAATCTAGATAGATGTCTTGACAGTCTGATAATTTTTACTTTTTTACTTTTTACTTTCAGTAATTAACATTATTTCCTTAAAAATTTTTAAACTGTTTGTGCTTGTAAAACTATTTTGTGTTGTTTAGTTAATAATTGTCTTAAATGTGTTTTAATTAATTATTTTATTCAAAAAGACATCTGGTGGTTTAACCTAACCTAAAAAAATTTTTTAAAAAAATACTTATTACACATGACTTTTTTAACTCGTTCTGTTAAACTTTTTGTAGCGCTTCCTTTATGGAATTAGTCAAGGTGAGTCAAGGTTATTGTTTAACTTTCTTTTGTGTTTTTTCTGTTATTTTGTATATGTTAAAGTCCGTTCATGCTTTTATAATTGTTTTTATTACAACTGACTCCTTGACATTCCATTTAGGTGTGCCTGATGATGAAGTGACAACTTCGAAACCGGTCGCCAATAAATTTACTTGTGAGAAATAAAGGACGTTTTCTTTAACCTTTACACTTAATTTTTATAGTGTATTTGGGGACAGCGATTAAAAATGTTGTTTAGTTTCCCGTAAAAATAGGTGCAAGCGTCATCTACATCATTAAATACATTTAAAAATATCCAGTTAATTTTTTAATCATATACAGCATAACCTTATTTGCTTTAGAGAAGTTATAACATTTTTAAAATGAAACTGCATGATTTCGTTTGGAACAAACTTTGGCATTGAATTTGCATGATATTTCAAGAGCCGGTTAATGACTATCTTCTGGCACAAGAGGATCTAATGATTTTGTAACCAAACAATTACCAATCATCATAGATGGTGTATAACTGGAAAAAACAAATACTAGACTAATTAATGAACACAAGTCAATCACAGAATTAGATATTAAAATTGTTAGAGGAAATGATTATAAAATAAAATGTTAACGATTTTGAAATTATTAAAATTTAAAGAAGAAAGATGTAATGTTTAACCTGAAAATTAATTTAAAAATATTAATAATTAGAAAATAAGTGGAAAATATAATGCATTTCTCAATTCTTCTTAGTTTGAATTTGAATTTGTTCGTTGAAACAGATACTGCTAGGAAATTAAAGAGCTTTATTGATTTTAAAATTAAACAATTGTTAATATCAGCTGTTGAAAACATTGACTTAAACCTTAAAGGGGCTCACTTTATGAAGCATTTTTAGATGAAGGTAATTTAGTTTAAATCGACATAAAATGAAATCTAATATCCGAGGCTTCCGTTTGGCAGGCGAGTTCTGAGGCACCCTATATAGGTAATCTATTTTTTACATTTCACTACCAACTACACATCGAAATTACCGGCTTAACTTCCGGTGTTTTTACAGTCGTCCCTACAAATCGAGAACACTGATTGAAACTACGAGCGGTGATTGCTTGGCCCGTGAAGTTTATATGAGAACACGTTTGTACTGGGATGTCTACGAAAAAGGTCGGCACATTTTGGTCGCACAAATCCCATTTGGGTCGACGGTTGACTGAATGGCTTTTCCATTCAGTCCATGTCCTTATACAGTTTTTACTTTAGTGTGTCAATCGGATAGATTGAAAAGGTTAGAAGTGTTTGGACTTTTCTAAATTATTGGTTTTTCATTCTAGATGAAAAAAGTTATAACGAGAAAGTGTGAGAGATTTATTAAAAATAAATTAAAGCGATGAAAATACTTGATCGTACAAAGGTATAGTTCAATTTTTATAACCGAAGAAAAAGATATACTGAAAATCTTCTAATGTTACTAAAAAAGTTTGTTTGAAATTAAATTTAAAAAGTTATCAAATTGATTAGTTATGTTTCCCAGAAACTTGGGCAAAATTAACAATAATAATAAATAATAATGTTTATTTCATAAGAAAAACAGTAATACACTGGTAAATTTAAACAAGGGTAAAATAAACATGACTAATCACAGAAGCTCTATTTATTTTTAATGTCAACCCTGCATCCCTTAAAATAGTTAAAGCTTTTTCCAATCAAAAGGCGATATAGAATGGTTTTAAAAGTCAAGGTTTGTCAAAATCATCACATGGTTTGCCCAAAATAATGTTAATGCTTCATAAATTCAAATTGTACATCTTAATACTACTATTGGCTTTCGGTCTTTCGTTTCAAGTTAAATTAAATCTCGTTTTTTACGCTACGAGTTCACCCTTGTGGGTTTCAGTCTCAATAAGATGAAAACCATCATTTTAGAGTCTCTCGAATTTATACATGTCTTCAACATTTCTAGTTTTAAGCATGTTATCTATAAAAAAAGAAACTAAACAGCACAAATAAAAGGAAACAAAATCACAAATAATACTCCGAAGGCACACATGGAACTGACAGATATGAAGGTATTCAACCAGACGAATAAAATAATAAAATTTTCAAAACAGAACACAGACTAGACGAATGAGAAATCATAACATAATGTGGAAACTTGATGAATGTCGATGTTTGTTGTCTCACGAGGTTATCTATTATTAAATCTCAGTGTTGGATTTGTTTGTGGAAGAATGAGCCAGAATTACAAATTTTTAACATTTTTATTAAATAATCTAATATACCGATATGAATATAAGAATTTAGATGTCTAATTTATTTTACTACCCAGTATAGCTAGCTCAGTAATTATATAATTTTTTTATTAGATGATGAATATTTGTATTAGAATTTTGGGTTGGGTTCTCTCACTTGTATTTCTTACTATCAATAATTTAGATAATCAAAAGAAAAGAAAGAAAAATAAATAAAAAAATAAACTCACCTACGAAATCTCTATAACTTTTCACTTTGATTTGATTTGATCACACAGTATTGTAATTTAGACTAAAAATTAAAAAAAAAATTAATTTAGAAATTATATTATTTTTTATTGTCGTCTTCTTCTTCTCAGCCTTGTCTGCACTTCCCTCTCCTTACTCTCCTATTTACACTGCTATTGTTCTACCGCCTGCCTTATTTCTGCTATCTTGCCTTGCTTTCTGCTTTAATCTCCTTCTGCTACCTATCTATTTTTGCTCCTATCGTTCTGCCTCCTGCCTTACTACTGCTATCTCGCCTTACTAGTTTCGTTTACGCTTTATTTTAAATAAAATTTTCTTAACCTTCTACTTTTATATATTTTCTTTATTATAATCTTCCAATTAACAATCCTTCAGTATTCTAATATATTAATATTATTTTGAAAAGAAATAAAATAAATATTTTATATTTTACAAAAATTCCCCTCTGACATTTCTTATTCCTGCTGACAATCTCCAATTAATTTCTAAAACTTCCAAATTGACTTTTCCCCGAAACATTGATTTTCATTTCTATTTTCAAAACCCTATGTTTGGTTTAATTTTTAGTTAACCAAATTACGTCATAATATATTATAATATCATTAATATGAACTAAATGTATAACAAGAATACACCCTGTAGAGGTAAAAAAATATAAATGAGGAAAAATGTCAAATAAAAATTGTGTAGGGTTGTCAATTTTGAAATTTAGAAAAAAAAGGGATGTCAAAAATTTGTAAAAAGGAATAGTATTGTAAATTGAAAGATATATAAAAAAAAATTAAATAAATAAACTTTAAAAAAAGATACGTTGTAAAGAACTATAAGATTTGTGAGAGAGAGAACAGAAGAGGAAAGAATAAATTGAAAAAAAGGTGATAGACGGTTGAAATAGGAGTGGACAGCAGTGATAGAGTGTAAATCCGGTATTTATAAACATTTTATTTATTTTTTGTGCAAATTACTAACTGAAATTTATAGTTTTAGTTTAGATTAAATAATATTCTGGAGTAATGAGCTAAATGATAGCTAAATCAATAATAATTATTGATTTTTTTTGTAATTTTCTTTGAAAATAGTTACATTTGTTTTTTTTAATAAGCAAGTAGGTTTAGTTGGTGTAGTAGGGATTAAACAACAATTTAATTTTGTAAAAGTTTATAAATTAATATAAGTATATAAGAGAGAAAGAGAACCTGCTCTTAAAAAGTGTTTAAGTATATTTAGAAGGCTAGCCGAGGTAAGTTAAGTTTATTGTGTATTTTTAAATTGTGGGGCTATAGAAATCATGACAATATTTTTCATTTTATTACTTTTACAACAGTTAAAGTATATTATAATAATATACATCCTAAAAACGCAGTTAAAGGAGGCAGTGCTATCATAATAAAAGAATATTATTCATTATTAAGTGACGGAATATAAAACAAAATCGATTTTCAAATTTAAAAGAAAAATTTGTTAGGATGCACTTATTAATAAATGGGTTCAGTGAAAATTTTTTAAATTAAAATAAGTAATTAATTCCTTTTATTTAGATCTCTATAAGAATTTAAAATAGTAATATAAGAAAAAATAAACAAACACAGAATCGGTTTAACCTTGTTTTATTATTAAAATAGTTTACTTCCTTTTCATATACATTTGTTTCTAGAAACCGTAAATTTCAATCATAACTCTTGGATCTTGTAATGATGGGATTCTCAATACAACTTCAGCATCCCCAGCTGCAACATCGATTCGTAAACAATAAGCACGTTCTCTTCCAAAATTTAAAACTCGTACTGAAGATATTCGAGCACCGTTAATGGAAGCAGTCCTGAAAAGGAAGTAAAAATTTGTTACTGTTGTGAATGAAAAGAAGTACTAAGCTTTGTGGTTGTAATTATTTTTCTACAGGATTAATGGTATTAGGTTTTCTGTTTTTTTTTAATACAATCTTTTATAAATACAAAAAGGTATGGATTTCTATTTTTACATGTGCTGTATATTGCGCAGTACACTTAGAATTAATGAGATCATTGTCAACTGAAAGTTTCTTAAAAGCTTTCAGAAGATTCATCGCCAGAAGATAGAAGATAAAGACCTTCCACGTTATGCAGAGAAAATGCAACAAATTCTAGCGACAGTTTCATCGAGCATTGAATATATTGTTAGTCAGCGAATTAGGATATCGCCGCCACTGGGTCGACGATACCACGTCTGCCCATTGCAGTGTCTGTTATAGTCAGCGAATTAGGATGTCGTCGCCACTGGGGTCGACAATACCACGTCTACGCTTTCTCCATGGTCTACCCGTTTCAGTTGTCCAGGACCAGGAGAGAGCGTGGAGAGCGGGGACTTGACTTTCGACCAGCCAAGCACTAGGAAGTGATTGGCCTTATACCTTTTAAACACATTCTTTATTTTGTTCCTTAATTAATTACATTTCAAACATTGTTTACGAGATATTTAATAAAACGTTATAAAACCATGTTAACACGTGTTTTATGAAGTGGCTACAAAGGGTGTTATAGAATACAGGGTGATAAATCATTTAAAAACAATAATTTTGAAGTTAATTTTTTTAACTTCTAACAATATTATAAAAGTAGTTCTATTTTATTTGAAAGATAGACGCAATCCACAAGTTTGGCAGTATTGAATTTCAACAAAGTAACTTGTTTATTAGTGTTAAATATTAAATATTACCAAGACTACTTCAAAGTAAAGCAAACTAAATACATTTCAATTTACTTGCGATACGTAATACCCCGTTAAACCACTAAATATTAAACAAGAATGGAACAGATAACTATCCTGCCAAAACAATACCTGCCTCGAGGATTTATTATGAAGTAATGGGATGAAAATTCGAACATTAATTATTTTCGACATCACGTATTTTCCTACCTACATTAGCTTTAATTTGCCTGAGCCAACCTCCTTCAGTGTGCAAGACCACCAATAATATTTACCCCTTATCTTGTCGAATATGCTCCTCATTATTATTTCAAGTAGGATTAATTACGACTTCTAGATATTATAGTGGATTTAGGGTCCATTAGAAAATTAGGGTTAGGGTAATTTGCGTTAGAGGATAATTGCAAAATAGAATATTAAATATAATTTGTAAAAGTACCGAGTAAAATTGAGGGGTCTAATCACAGTTGGAAAAATGTTGGGGAATCAAGAGAAATATTTTTTATGTAAAATTTTTAGATACTGAAAATTTTCGTATTTTGTTGTCTATTCAGATTGTCCTGCTACATTATTTTTTGAAAATGTTAATCCGTAAATAAAAAAAAAAAAAAAATAAACGAGCTATGAAGGTAATATCAATGGACTTGACTGGTTTATGCAGTTTTTTGATTTTTTAAGGGAGAAGAGAAAAACAAATTAAATTTTTATTTTCAAAATATAACTTTTGGTTAATTTACTTAATGAAATAAACAAATAGATGGTTTAACTAAACTTTTAGTGTTAACTTAAAATATTTTCATTTAATGATCATCAATAAATTCTGATGCGGAAGTTTTTTTATCATCTGGTGAAAAGCTCTGATGGCAGCCTCTGATTTCTTGGCACATAATTTCGCCAGAGTCATGAAGTGATCAAATTTATTTTTTTTTTTTAGCCTTTGTTTTTCACTATACATCTTATTTGTAGGGTTTGATAAGATCAGGGGCTGCAGATTCCTCCTATCTCGGATTTCAAAAGCATTGAACAAATTGAAAAATACTGTTTCACTGCATTTAAATGATATTTAAGTATCTAGTTTTTCATAACACATGATTCGATATTTAGAAATCGTAGATTTATTGTTCTTCCTTGGAGGATTCTTTATAAAAAACTGCTGCAAATGAGCCTTAAAATTTAAAATATATCCTGCGTTACATGGATAACTTTAAAGTTCTTGTATGTATTTTTAATAATATTCGAGTACTCTTGAGGTAAATATATTTTTTCATGTTTTCTTTCATGTATTTCTATAGCTCCAAAGCTCCTATAGAACGAAAGGAAACTATGTCCAGGTTCGGAATACCTGTGCTGTATTAGCCTGAAGCTTCCAGTGCCAACATAGTATAAAGAAACTGTACTAAAACAAAATTTCGTTCTGTGACGAACAGTTGTCAGAAAACATGTATATATCAATTACTTCTTCTTTAATGTAGATATTAAGAAAATGGTGTAGCAGACTGGCTACATCATTTTGTCCTTCAGCAGCCAATGTTTTATCATACACATAAAAAAAAACTTTTCACAATACTTCCTACATGGGCAAAAAATTTATATACCCAAAGTTGCATTTTGTAGAACACTTCTCCACTGGAGGATACAGGAAGGGGCAAATTTTGTTTAACATTAAATGTCAACACTTCTACACTTAGGTCGTTTTGTGCTAAAGCTGTTTTATCTTTAATGTCTGTATATAAAGTTTCTGCTTTTTTAATATGCAATTTTCTGTCTGTCTTCAACTGTGTCTTTTGTTCTTCATTGTCAGCAGCATTAATTTACCAAAAGACATTTTAAAGTTTTCTGTAAAAAACTTTCTATAATATTTCATGAAGTAACTGTTCAGTTTTATATTTATGTAGGTACATGTGATGCATTTTGGCAATACTGAGGAGAGGTGATAGGTAATAGTGGTTCAAGTTGTCTTTTAGAGTATTATGTGATTTGTATTTTAAATAACTAAGAATATGCTCACGTATCTTATCATCAGTGTCTTTAGGTAGGTAGTTTATTAGGCCTGAACAGATGCTTTTCTCTGCTATCTATAGGAGGAGTTATGTGTCTTATATTTTTGCGTTTTTGCAATCGCTCAAGTCGTTCTTTTGTTATTCCATGAAGAGAGAGTAAATGTAATTATATATCCGGGGAATGACAAGATTATCTAATTGATAATCATGTAAGACAGTGTTTACTTTCCTGGAAAAGGACAGGACTTTGCATTTGTTAGTAATCAAAGATACTTTATTTACGATACGCCAGTTATGTAAGTTGACAAGGTTGTTTTGAAGAGCAATGCAATCTGAGGTATCCTTTATTTCCCTATAAATTTTCATATCGTCTGCAAACAAAAGTTTCTTAGAGTTGATACAATGATGTTATTAATAAAAATAACAAATAATTATGGGTACACATTCGAACCCTAAGGAACCCCTGACGTTGACACGAAATTAAAAAATCAGTTAAAAAAGACTTTAACAGTGATTGCATACTCTTTGAAATACCAAATTGTCTCAGTTTCAGAAGTAATTGTTTGTGAGATACCTTATCAAACGCTTTACTTAAATCTGTGTATGCGACGTCAAATTGATTACTACAGTCTAAAGAACTAGATATGTATTGCTTAAATGTATACAGATTTAACGCGGTACTTCTGAGCTTCACAAAACCATCTTGGTATTCCGTATTAGAGCATACGCAACCAAATATACACTGTAGTTTTTACAATTTAAAACTGTGCAATAATGTGAACCTAACTCATTTTGCCCAAAAAAAAAAGTAATGCCATTTATTGGCAAAAAGTTGTGAGTTTTAAAGAGAACTTTAATATATCTTCTTTTAGTTTTATATTACGTTTTACATTATGGAGCTCTACAAGGTTCAAAATTTTCGGTTATAGCGTTAAAAAGATTGGAATTAAATATTAAAAATTTAAACAAAATATTAAAAATTAAGCAATAAAAAACTTACCATTTTTTGCTATGTTTCTAAATATTTCTAAAGTAGGTCATGACCGACAAAAGTAGTGATGCGAGTAATATGAGTAATAACTACACGTAGCTTTGAATTAAATCCAACCTGACATCTTGGAAGATGAATTTTGAAAAAATAATGAAATACATGTAATTTTAAATGGTATCATCGTATATAAAATAAATGTTTTCCATACAAATTTTATTACCTCTTTGCACCCCTTTAGTGACGGAATTTTAAAAAATCAATTCTTATTGCACCCCTATGACCTACTCTCAAGTTTATAATCTTTAAAATCCAAGCTGTGCGTTATCTGTATGTCAGTAATGATACTGTTTGGTAGTAAAAATGATTTAAGCATAAATTAATCACTTAATATCCAATCCGTATAATTTTTAAATAGAGTATTATATTTATTATAACATCAGCTATTAAAAATAGCTCATATTATTTGAACAGGTATTACAAAATTTAATTTTACAATACTGAATTGTAAGAAGTGGATTATGATCATTATTTTTGTCACTATTATATTTTATCGCTTCTTTCTATATTTGTTTCTTTTCAATTATGTAATATAAGAATTTGAGCTCCAGTTCCTACTTACCAGCGTATATCCTGATCATTAGAGTATAATACTTCTGCAATAACTACTTCGCGTAAAAGCAAAACGTCTCCATTTTGTCGATATTTGTATAATAAGTCTCCATAATTACCACCGTTATCACGAGATGTTTTTTCTGCAGCAAATTTCGAATCAAAATTGGTGCCATTTTGGTTGCGCCTTTTTTCCAAAACTTCATGCGGTTTAATTAATTTGAAATCAGTTTTATACTTAAACTCGGCATTTACAAAATAAATAAAAAGTATGAAAACGTGCAATGTATAGACTTGAAACATTTTAAATTTGATGTTAACTAAAATAAACCAAAGGTAACGTTTTGGTTTTATATACATTAGGCTTATCAAAATTTTTCACTAAGCGTATTAGTATTCTAGACATTTTCTATTATCCACAATGTTTTGGGTCAATGATTCTTTTAATCAAAATAAAACTAGGTTTGTTGAATACAGTCTGGCAATAAACTATATTAAGATAGTAAGAACAAATTAAAGACTCTCTAAGAAGATGATAAAGTTTTATTTTAAAATATTACATATATCAATTATAATGGAAGGAGGAGTAATTAAAAACCTTTCAAATAATTACAATGATATTTCAGCAATAATTCCATTTTTTGAAAACTCAACTCTACTTCAACTATTAAACTAGAATAAAAATAATGCTTGGTATTCTATATTATAGTTTTCATAGTTTAACAAACCCCCTGAATCCCCTATTTTAATTCATATTTTTTCAAAATCAATAGACTTCGTCCCCTTATAGAGCTTAATTATTCATGAAATTTTGAGTTGATATCATTTTTCGTTTTTGACAAAAACGTGACATTGGATAGACGAATAAAGTAAACCCATAATATTCTTCAAATTAAATAATAAATATCACAATAACAATATATCGTCTGCTTTTGACATATTCTAACCAATAGTCCTGATGTGGATGTTATGTAATAACACAACGAGAAAAAATTAGAGTTGCAACCGGAACAATCTCCGATGAATGTATACATAGTGAGACCAATTAGCAGTTACGGTAACAGAACTAGTTTAGCTGGCTAGTTTTGCGATAATCCACCTCAAAAGTGGACAGTACCATCATTTTTCTTTACCAGCAAAATCAAAAAACTCCAAGATTGCTCGATAACACTAAGACAAAGCATTTCATCCAACTTCCCATCCATATGTTCGTGCATCACTGGATAAACTGGATAATATATTTGCTTAATGGGCGGTTAATGACAAACAATTGTGTGTTCAGCAACATTAGAACACTTTAAACTAGTTCCCATTAAAACACTATTATGCTCAATTACAGCCTCCAAATGAAGCTTTCTGCAAATCTTTAAGCGTAAAACTACTCCTTGGATGATCTGCAGTAGCACCTATCAACGGACTACTCTGAAAAGTGCCACTCAATATGCCTAAGATCTGGTACAACTCCCATGATTATCTAAAAGTCAGCAATTAAAATAAGAACATGTTGAATATTTAACAATACCAAAACAGAAGTAATCTTCAATTTATCTCGAAGAAAAGATGGAACCAAACACTCACAATTACATTTACACACCTGTACATTCGTAACCCTACAACTAGTTTTCTTTGTAGTATCCACTTATAAACCTAAAATATGCAAAAGTTTCCAACCAGTACTAATCACCTGAATCTAAAAAACCTATTAACTAAAAACCAAATACGTTTACCCTAAGGTTGTCCCTCTCATCATTTCTAACATGACTTAAAATATAGTCAAGAATAGGTCGAATTTTGGTCGAACGTTCTACAGCACTACCCTTTCCTAAGAGGCATGTTTGCCTGCGAAATATTCATCTGTGGAATACTAGCCTGAGAAATATGATTTTGCGAAGTAGAAGGATTTGGAACACTAACAACATGAGACGAAGTAGCAATATTTTGCAAAATTTGTGTAGTGTACCTATTGTACTTAACAACTTCCAGAGGAAAATGTGCCTAAAAAATAAACTTAAAAAAAAATAACTTTTTGTTTACTTGGTTACATAAGTTTCAGTTGTTCCGGTGTCAACTGTTGGACCTTCGAGGTCGCTCAGACAGCAGCTAGGGGGTGGATAGCTATATTAATTCGGAGAAATTCATGAGCGCCAACTGGGTCCCTATAATCGCCAAATTTCTCCACAAACCCAGTAAATAAGGAAAGAAATAAAAAACCAACCTCAAACTTATGTTCCTTTGTATTCAATTTACCAAATTTACCCAATTATCCAAAGATTATTAATTTATAATTTAATACTAAAGAAACTAACAAACCAATATGGTTGGCACTAAACAAATTGATTAATTAATATTCAAGAAACAACTCATAAATTAAAAAACTATATTTAAATTGTTCAAGATTTTTACCAAAAACATATCCTACAGCTTATGATAAATTTATAACTAAATAAACTAAAATATCTACAGAAAGTTAGAAATTAAAATGTATATGTTATATGCATGAACCCAAAAATCATCAATCGAAAGCACAGTCAGTCGTTAGCGTGGTACCAAGCGAAGGACGATTTGCGTAAGATGTTTTGCAACATATTGTAAAATTATAAATCAACATGTGCGACTCCACACTTATTTATAAATATAAATCCTAATACACAAAAATATAATAAACATAAAAGAATTATAATAAATACATAAAAGTGGTTTATTACTAAAGCTTTCAGATTGGAATAGGTTATTTATATCTCAAGATATCTTAACTGTTTCGTTAAGTCTTACTTTTTATATTGAGAACAAATCGGAAAATTAAAACGTTAAGGTATTTAAGGTCAATCCTGAAGATCGAGATACTAAGTGCTTAATTAACTAAATTTAGTAACACATAAGTTATTAAAGAAAAACCAACTTAAACATTATGTGAGCACAAGTATGAATAATGTTGAGAATACCTTAAACAAATTCGCTTAAAAATTGTTGAATGTTTAATTTAACAAATTAGCATATTGTCATATGAGATCATTAATATAATATAAAGAAATATCTGATAGTAGGGTGTCTCCTTTAATAGCATCACCATCTTGCCATCTAGATAAAGAAACTAATAAACCAATGGTACATGAACATACCGACCAATGTTCTGGTAAACGGGTGTACTATAGGTGTAAAAAATTACCAAATATATACAAAACAATTGGTAGCTTTCCAAATTTGAAAAAAAAAGAGGAGATTGGTCGTCCAACTGCAACCAAGCTTGAAGAATTCACTTTAGTATTATAAATCTCAAATGCCGATGGACTTTTCTATGTAAAACAACGAACTAATGACTTAAAATCTATTGCAAGTAGTCATACTTATAATTTTTGTGTCTACAGATCCCTTTAGCGGGGGAGAAATAGGTCAATATACAAAGGAAATTTATCTAAAACACGTAAATTCCTCAAAATCCATTACCCTAACTTTCTCAATTATAATAGAAAATTTTTTTAAAAAACTCATGTATAGGGAGACTCAAAGGTCACATAAATATAGATTGTCCTTTGCCGATATACTTTTCAGGTAGGAGAAGGATCGAAGGCATGCTTCCTCGAAAAATGAGGATAAGCATTGGCATGCTTTTCCGGAAAATAAGGAGGAACAGTGACATGTATTTCTAATGATCTTATACCTCATTATTATTTTAAACCTTTATTACATGTACATTTAAACTTAATTCTCAACCATGAGATCATAAATGTATGATATTTCGGATTCCACAGGAATAGATATTTTATATGAACTCAGTTGTAAGTCTTGCCCAGCCAAATATGTAGGTAGAACCTTTCGTAATTTTAGGACTAGACTTAAAGAACATTTAAGATGTTTGAATACTACCACAACCGGCTTCTCACATTTTGCCACCCATCTAGTAGAGTCCAATCACGATTTTGACTCAGGGGATGGCTTTAGGGTACTCCACATTTGTCACAACAAGTTGATATTGAATAATTTGGAGAACCTAGAAATATTTAGATTAAGAAAAAGTAACAATGCATTATCACTAAACTCACAAGTTTTTTCCGAATCCACACCCACGTTCTCAGTTCTTTTTTAAAAATCTACGTTTCCCTTAAATTACCCCCCCCTTTTACTTTAAAATTTCCCTATGAAATTCTATTAGTTATACTTATCTTATTCCTTATTTTTATTCTGTCTCCTTTTCCATTTTCATTTTTCAGCACATTACTTCAAAAAATAATTAACCAAATCAATAGTTTTTTCTCTTTTCATTTTAACACCATTTCCTTTTTCCGTTGATTGTTACCAACTTCTTAATTTGAATATTAGTACATCTAAAATTATTTTCCAACGTTAATGCTAGACTCTACTTTTAACAATAATAATTTATTTATTTCATTTTGTTTATTACGTACAAATTCAAACAATTCATTTTATAAACCTATATTATTATTAAGAAACATTTATTTTTTTCGCCAACGCCATCTATTAGCCGATGGTCAAAATATTTAAATTTGACAACCTCTAAACTGTTATCTTAAATATTAGAATGGTTAATTCGTCTATTTATATCTTGAGGGCGTTAATCAGTATATTTAATCTAAATAAAATTTAATTCCTGTAGAATTATAAACACTTGTCCAAGAACCCATTTTAGTGCTTGTAGGGTTTAAAAAGTTTTTAAATTTGTTTGTCTTAATTGTTCGTCCGTTCGTGAAATATTTTAATAATTTTAATTAATAGTTTTAGACCTACTTTTGTTTATGTGTTTTGACATCAACTTTTTGTTGCAACTATTGTTTTTTTTATATTTTTTTATGTATTTTAAAAAATACTCGCATACTTGTTTTTACACCGACCCTGGGATAATTCTCTTAGCTTAGTCTTAAATAGATGAGTAATTACGGGTGAGTTCTTGATATTTGACAACTTTCATATTAACATGTTTAAACCCACTTTATTAGTTATGAGCTCATTCGTTTTTCCTCTCTATTTTTAGACCTTACCTGATGATGAGGATCTGATCCTCGAAATCGGTCGTAATAAAATACTCTTGTGAGATCCTAAGGACCACCCTCGTTTGATTTACCTTTTTGAACTTATAACTCACACATGGCTATACCACCTTCAACTTTAATAGATATTTTAGTAACATTATTCGAATGAAGGGATCGATTGAAGATATACAAAATATTTTTAGGTTAGAATGTTCTGAATTTTTGTATAGTCAATGTGACTAATTTTCAATCTATCTTTTTAGAACAAAGTTTTACCCATTTTGGATAGTTAAATGGTACATATATTTATGCATCATG